AAATCTATCAATATGATAAACAAGTGATCCCATATGCCATATATGTTAGCCATGTTTATATGTGTATGACCTTTAACTATACATTCATATATTTTTTTTAAGTTTTACTACATATTTATTTTTATTATTTTTTTAACTAACTTGTGTATCAAAGTTATTACTCTACAAACCCCCCTTAATGCATAAGTCATGCTCCATTTAAGTTGCAATACTTAGATGAATAATTTTTGGATTCCAGACCACTTTCAACATCGAACAATTTGTAATATAAAAATAATTTGATAATATAATCAAGCTCATACTTTTGTTAAAATAAATGTTATGGTGTATATTAAGTTTGCTATAAAAGTAAACATTTTAGCTAAATATTCAATATTTTTTTGTGGTAAATATTAAAAGGTAAGTTAAATTGTTTAATTATCTGAAACCAATGTCGTAGTTTCTTTTTATAAACTCGTTCATTGATTTTAACACGTATTTGAACAAATCACGAAGAAGTAATCTTATAACGTAAAAAACAACTCAATAAGACCATATTGCTTAAGAAAATAGAAACACATAATAATTTGAGATTTTTTTGCATACCATTAATAATTAAATTTTTTTAATTTATAATTATTAATTGGTGAATTGTATATTTGTTATCGTGTATAGCTATTATTTATTATAATTAACTTTTTAAATATTATAATTTGTTATTATTTTATATATATTATTATTCTATTCAAGTATCAAAATGAGGATGCTATCTACCTAGCTCCTGTCTGACTTAGTAAATGCCTAATTCGAACCATTGCAATTGGTAAAATAGATTAAGATTGACCGATCCAATTATTTTTAGTTTGTTAAAAATAAATAAATAATAATAATTTTATTAATAAAATAAATGATAAAAATATTAAAATTAATAATAAATTCAATAGAATTAGTAGAAACTAATAATAAAAAACTAAGAAATTAAAATATTACTGAAGTTAATTAAAAAGCAGGATACATGGGTCGGGTCGGGCAATCAAACTGGGCTTTCTGGTCAAACAAAACAAGGCTTTCTACGCCCATTTTTTACGCCTAGACCTCCTCCATCAAGGACGAAGCAAGGAAATAAAGGGTTGTGCGCAGCATGCACCCAGCGCACGTTAGAGAATACAGCCGCTGGATTGATAATTAGTAGGTTGTACACGCACAAGGAAAAGAGAAGGAAACCCGCTAGAAATTCACAATTATCTCGCAAACATTCCAGATTAGGGTTTCGTTGTCTTCTCTTCGGCTCTCCCTCTGCGGTCCATAACACTCTTCGTCGTTTGCCGGTAAGATCCGTGAACCCTTCCCCCGAGGTCTTCCTTTATGTTCGTTCCTGTTTGTTTCTTTCTTTACTTCGATAGAACGTCATGTTGCTTACTTTTGATTTCTAGAACGCCTTTGTATCATATCTAGCCTTTAGAAACGAGTGAAAACGAAGGGAAACAGAGGAAAAGGGGACAGAGGAGAAGGAGGGGAGGGAAAGGAGGAGATGAACGAGGGTGAGGGAGGGGATCAGATGGATCAGTTTCATCGAAATGAGCGATCTCGACGTTGCGGATGAGGGTTTCTCGGTGAGAGATGATGATTATGAGATCTTTACATGATG